ATCATCCCTATGGTCTCCATGATGAGGAGGGAGTAGTCCACCCTCGGGGCTGAGGGTTTGTACCAGTAACTATGTATTTAATCTCTCTCTCTCCCTCTCTCCCTCTCTCCCTCTCTCTCTCTCTCTCTCGTGTTCTTGAGATGTCATGATCTTGATGTATCGCGGGCTTTGTTAATATAGTCGGATCATATGGTGTTTTCCCCTCTCTATCTTGTGATGAATTGAGTTTTCCTTTGAGATTTGTTTTATCGGATTGAATACTTTTATGGATTTGAGAACACATGATGTATGTCTTTCTATGAATACCCGTGGTGACAATGAGGTATCGTATTTATTCAATTGATATATATTTTGGCACTCAACTCACGGATTCCTGAGGTGACATTGGGGCAACCTATGCATAGGGGTTGATGCGCGTTCTTGTCTTTGTTTCTCCAGTAGAAATCTTGGGGCACTCCATGAGGTTCTTTGTGTTGGATTGAGTACTATGAATCTAAATTTGCTTTGGTGTTATTTTAGTACGAACTCTTGGATAGATCGATCGAAAAGAATAGTTACAAACAATTTCTTCTTATGTTCTCCACTAGATAAGAACTTTGGAGTGAATCTTTGTTGCACGTTGAGGGATGGTTATGTGATCCAATTATATTAGCATTGTTGAGAGATTGCACTAGCGAAAGTACGGACCCTAGGCGTCATTTTCAAGCATTGCAATACCGTTTCTGCTCCGTTTTATCAATTGCTACCTTGCTGTTTTTTAGTGTTCCTATCACAAAAATCAATATATACTATCATTACTATACTTTTATCACCATCTCTTCGCCAAACTAGTGCACCTATATAATTTGCGATTGTATTGGGTGTGTTGGGGACACAAGAGATATCTTGTATTTGGTTGCAGGGTTGTTTGAGAGAGGCCATCTTCATCCTACGCCTCCCATGGATTGATAAACTTTAGGTCATCCACTTGATAGAAAATTGCTACTGTCCTATGAAACTCTGCGCTTGAAAGCCCAACACGAGTCTACAAGAATAAAGTTGCATAATAGACAACACTGCGTCATGTTTATGTCAGATGATGCCTATGCATTTACCTCCACCTCAGCGCGCCAACGGTGGGGTTGCGCATCGGCCACCACCTTCAGACGCCAGACAGACCGCACCGCCTCCGGTGACGCGGTGACGACACCCCTAGCGGTGGATCCATGCGCCATTTGGCCGGATGCAATGGATTCTCGGCGGAAGAAGTCCAAGTGTTGTCGTCGGGCGGCCTCCTCCCTGGAGCGGCGGAGCGCAAGCCGGAAGGTTATCTCCTCCTCAGGGCCACGTGGGAAGCTCGACGTCAATGGCTTTGGAGGTGTAGGACTTGAATCTGCAGCCTGCCATGCCAGAGAGGTCGGATATCGCTGGACGGGAGCTTGGGTGGCGGAGTGGAGTGGAATTGAGTGGAGTGAAGTGGCTAGAGTTTGGTCTGGGGAGCGGATGGAGACGAATATATGTGGGGTCAGGGGCCCCTGTGTGGTCCAGATCCGACGTGATAGACGCGCCCGATCATGCCCGAGCCACCCCATATCCGGGACATATTAGGGCTGGATATGAGGGGTGCCGGTTAGCTCGGACATTTGAGGGCCCATTGGAAGTAGGAGTAGTCGAATGTTACTTTAGACAAATGCGTCTAATCAGATCTCTTTCATCCTCCACAAGAAAAGCTCTTCTCCTCCCGTCGGCGGCGGCGCCAGTCCGTCCCATCTCCGATGCCCTATAGGCCATGAAGGTGTAAAGGATCTCGGGCCCCCGCCAGTGGGAGGGACCCTGTTCTCGTTCTTATTAGATTCAGCGTCTTGGTTGAGACTGTGTGGCGGCGGTGATGTTCCTTATTAGAAATAATGTCTTCCATGTTCTATCCCCGTTTTGATGGTGCGTCTAGCATCATTGGAGGGCGTGTGGAGATTTGTCTCTGTCGGATCTTGCGGGTTTCGGTCGGTGCTGGTCTTCGTGGATCTACTTGGATCTTGTTTTCGTTTGTAATCGTTTAGGTGTTTACATGTTTGATCCTTCCGATCTACGACTTTCTTCATCTGTGATGGTTGCTACTTTGGTGCGCTGGTTCTATTAGGCCTTAGCACGATGACTTCCCGACTATCTACTACAACAAGGTTTGCGTGGCTCCGGTGAGGGAGGGGCGATGACGGCGGCGCGTCTTTGGCTCGCTCTAGTGCTTGTAGTCGTCGCTCGGTGGTCCACGAACATGTTGTAATTTTTACGAAAAAACTAACGCCCACACGTGTGGCATCTTGCACATTGCCCACACGCCTTCATCACCATTCATTTTGCCACGTATGAACATATGACATCAGCAGGAATCTTTTTGGTTTTCGGCTTAAAAATGTTTTATCTTCTAATTAAAAAATCGAATTAAAAATCCGTTTTCACCGTTAAATCCGTCTCGACGAGATCTTCAAAACTAGACCCATGTTAATATGTTTCGACGAAAAAAATTTGCCCAAAAGTTGCCATGATGTTTACACTGTAGTTGCTATAGTGCTTAAACAAAAGTTGCCATGTGGAAAGTTTAGTTTGTAGAGCATCGCAATTGTAGTTTTTTTATGATGGCAATTACAGTACTTTGACCATGAAAATTATTTTTTGTATGAACCATGGCAATTTGAAGTGCATGTATCATGGCAATTTTAGTTTATGGTTCATAGCAAGTCTAGTTTCTTAATTTCATGTTTTATAATATGTCAACATTTACTTTTAATAGTAGAAGAAAATAGCTGAAACATATCATGATAACTTCAGTGTAAACATCATGACAATTCATATGCAATAGATATGGCAACTTTTAACCCCCAAAACAATTCGTCGAAATATATTGATATGAGACCAAGTTTCGAAGATCTCGTCACGAGGGATTTAATGGTGAAAAGGGATCTTCAACCGGATTTTTCATTTAAGAGATAAAACATTTTAAAAACTGAAAATCCAAAAAGATTCTCACATGCATACATGCGGTGATGTGGCGCAGTCTGTATGTTATAGGGCGTGTGGACAGGTTTGGCTTCCACCACACGTGTGGACGTTAGCATTGTTCAATTTTTATTATCTCTATTATTCTTTGTGCTGCTATTATTGAAGATGAATAGATTGAAAATTTCTTGAAAAAAATTGTTACTTTAGATTTTTTATTTTATTATATATTGATATAAAAGAATGTTGGAATTAATTGACGGGCGGACAATCTTGTTAGAATATGAACCGCATTGATCGCCATGCCCGCTAGACATGTGTATTAATTATCAGCGTGGGCATCGTATGGAGAAAAAAAAGAGGAATAGACAGAAAATGCAGACGCAGATGCCAAGGTGCAAGCAACTGCCTACATATCTTAGCCCGTATCAAAGCCAGGTGATCAACACATGTAAATTACGCTAGTCGAAGGGATCTGTGAGCATCATGATCTTATCCCCGTAATTTTGTATGCCATTAGGATGCTAATCCGCCCTTGACGTTCCTGGCTTGGCTGTGAAAACCCAAACATTACAGCTGTGCAAAGTGCAGAAGATGGAGGGGTAAACTACACGGAGGCCGGAGCCATCACTCGCCCTGGTCGCGAGCCGGCATGTTCAAGAATGACATGGCCCATTTCCTGTATGTGTTGTCTAGGTGGGATGCCGCGAATAGTTAGACCAGGGCGGCTGGGGTGGGGCTTGGTAGGGCTTGGGCTGTTTACCCGCGTGTAACAGTATGTAAAACTTGTTAAAACTCTGGTGGATGGGGCTCTTTCCCCCCTCTCCTTCTTTGATGCATGATACACACGCTAGTGTGTATTCTAGAAAAAAAGAACTGCACGGTGCAGTTTTGCAAATGGCATGTAGGGCTGGGTCTACATAAAAGCTACCGTTACTGCAGAGAATTTGCATCCCGAGCGAGAACCTTTCACCAAGTTTTGTTTCTAAACACAGTACAATCACAGATGCTTACATACATGCACATGCATTCATCCTTATGAACGAAAGCAAGCACATCCTATCCCTATGATGCTAAGTCTAAGACTTAAAACTTGGTGGGCTGGTAACGACATAAAAAATCCAACCATCTGAGAGCTAACGTGAAGCTCCGACCCAAATCAAGAAGATGATGTTGTCCGTGTATGCAAAATGAATTAAAAGTATAGAAAATTTGCGTCACTTGCATGGGAGAATTCGTCAATCCAAACTTCATCGTCTGGATTTCAAGTCTTTCAATAAGGTCCCGTTTGGAGCATAGGAATTCAAAATGCTGGGATAGGACACATGAATTGAGATGTCATGTATCCTGAATTCCTATTTGAACTAGCCACGAAAACTGCATAACTGTCGTTTGGAAATCATGCTGAAAAAACACAGAAAACCTGGACATGATGAGAAGAAAACATAAGGTTAAACCTCATGTTTGATTTCCTCCAAAATTCCGATGAGATAGCCTTCATAGGAATTTCAAATGGTATAGGATAGCAATTCCTTTGTTTCAAACTGGGCCTAAAAAGGGAAGAAAAAGGCGAGGATTCGCAAGCCAATTCTTTTCGAAAAGCATTTGTTGTGATGCTCGAATTGGTCATCATACCGCCGATCTTTGCTCCGAAGTCCTGAACCAGCTAGCGCGTGCATCTGGGAAAGCTGTATATGTGAATCTGGGAATGCTGGATCGTCGATCATACGGAGAGCAATGCCAGAATCTCATAACGAATTGCGGACATTAAATGCAAGTGCATTTCTATAATCCGGCCATGCTAATGCCTCCATGGCAGGCGCTTGTTTAATCGCCGTCTGCCCCAGTGGCCATGTGGGTGTCGTCGCAGAGCTCCGCTATATAAGCTTGTGCCCAGGAATACCTTGCCAAATCACAGAAGCTTAGTTCCTCTCCTATTCTCGTGTGTACTCACGTGTCGCTGCATGATACACTAGCACTAGAGTAACTTGCTTACTTTGCTCTTGTTCGTCATCGTCGTTGCCGCCGCCATGGCTCTAGTGGGTCAGCCAGCCACGTTCTGCTACGATGGCTTCGTCGGTGACGGTGTGCCCGCGTTCATGGACGCCGGTGGCGTCGGGTTCGGCTACGGGTACGATCACCACTCCCATCTCCTCGAGGAGGAATGCTTGCTCGGTAGCCACGCCCACGGATGGGAGTTGCCGCCGACCGGCAATCTTGGCGCCGAGGCGCCGGGCAGCGTCAACGCGTTCGGGGGCCACGACGTCGGCTGGACGAACCCAGCTGGCCGCCTGTCGTCTTCTTCGGCCTCCTCCTCGGTGCTCACCTTCGACAACCAGGGTGAGGACAACTACCCCGCTGCCACGTGGATGGACGCCGCGGACCAGCTGAGCTACAGCCCGTCAACGGCAGCTGCGGCAACCGCGCTGGCAGGAAGCTTCAGCTTCGAGGGCTGCGGCGGCAACGGCCGCACGGCGGCGTCCCCTTCGCACAAGCGGCCTCGTGCGCACGCGGAGGCACAGCAGGGCACGGAGCAAGAAAGCACTACCCTTCCCAAGAAGCAGTGCGGCGGCGATAGGAAATCAGCAGTCAAGCCTAGCAAAACGTCCGCGCCCACCAGTTCGGCCAAGGACCCTCAAAGCGATGCAGCCAAGGTACGCTCATGGAGTTTCGTCCCGAACCATCGCAATTAAGGGAGCTCAACCTCAATTCTCGGTGAACTGACAAGGTTTACTGAATTACTGTGGGCTACAGACTCGTCGTGAGCGGATCGGGGAGCGTCTGAGAGTCCTGCAGGAGCTGGTGCCCAACGGCAACAAGGTGGACATGGTCACCATGCTCGACAAGGCCATCACTTACGTCAAGTTCATGCAGCTCCAGCTTACGGTACAGACATTAATCGGTTCAGCAATGTCAATTCGGCGTTTTCGGCCTCGTTTCTTAGCCGGCACTTGTCTAATTGTAGCTAACAAACAAATGATGTCAGGTGCTCGAGACGGACGCATTCTGGCCTGCTCAGGGAGGCGAGGCGCCGGAGATCTCCCAGGTGAAGGCGGCACTCGACGCCATCATCCTCTCGTCGTCGCAGCAGCTTCGTCAGTGGAGCTAACAGCGAACCGATACATCACCACTACATATACATTCTCCCAGAATTCAGAGAGTCGCTCTCTGCTCTATCCTCTTTCTATGTTGCTGTCCCATTCCCTAATCTTCTCATCTTGCTATGTACTGTACTCACCATAGTAGCCACAGTAAGCTCTACTAATTGGTTAATGACGGCGTGCACTCGATCAATAAACGTTGTGCTCAGTACTTCATCGTTACTAGTTTCTTTCAAAAAAAAAGGAGAAAATCCCGCCTCTGCACTATAAGATGGACACAGCCAACGTGAACCAAATCCAAGTCTCTAAACACCAAAAGAAACAAAACAAAACAAAACAAGGCCACAACAATTAGAAACATCCACATAATCTACTACTGTCATGCTAGCCAGACTGGTCGAACAAATCCCATGCAATCATTTTCAGATGGCTGCATCCAAAGATCATAAGTGTCCACACGCTGCGTATGACTATGACCACATACGGATTAGTGTCTGTTTAGGACACACATAGTTATATCACATCTAAGGTGATGTCCACTCTATTTGTGGTCTTTATTTTTGTCCTAGTTTTTTTTTGTTTCTTGTTGCTGCATTATATATTTGTGGAAACTTAGATGTGACATCCTTAAAAAACATCTAGATGTGAATTAGATAAACTGAAAAAAATAAACCATAAATATAGTGAACATCAGGTTAGATGTGACATAACTATGTAACATCTAGATATGTCCTAGAGAGACCCTTCCGAAAATCTCAAACCGCCCAAAAAATGGCACAAGCTCCCATGCGGATTTGACCCTTAGATTATGGCGAATAACATCAAACATGTGGTTCGATGGTTAGGAGAAAAGTGGTATCCCCATCCCACCAGGGCTCAAGTCCTAGTCTTGATACCAGTGGTCGCATTTTTCTAGATTTAGTTCGAGCCTTTTGGAGATGTGCGTTCGGTGGAAGGGTATGTTTCCGTTGACTAAGAATGCGTCTGTGGCCACTTCGTTAATCTCAAAAAGATGTTACGGCTCAGTCTTTCGAAGGTGCTCATAGGGATATGGTGTATGTGTGTGTGCGCGCGTGTGTTCATAGAGGTGAGTGTGTGTGCATACGTGTGAGTGTGTGTGCATACGTGTGAGCGTGTGCGTCTGTACTATGTTAAAAAAAATACCGCACAGATCTGAAGAACATGGTTCCACACGCACCCCTTACTAATAATAAATTTAAAATAAATAGTAGAAAAATCAAAAAATAGAAAAAAATTGTAACATACATAGTAGACTGGTGGACTTTTGTATGAAATTTCACGAAGAAATGATATCTGTGGCTGGCAAAAAAATGCCAAGACTAGATCTACATTAAAATACACAGTTTGAGCAATAGTAAGGTCAAAATTGTATTTTCTTCGCTAAAAATACCAAGGTTGTCAGTACTTCAGCAAACTGGTGTGACTAAAATGGTCAACTAAGTTTGATATTACTATTTTTGAACCGGGCATAACCCCTTTCCATTACTTTGACATAACGGAAATACAAGGTTATTCCACACTGCAGACACTAAGGAAACAGGAAAGGGGAAGCGAGTTCAACGCATCCTTGGTAAACCCACTGCAAGCACTCGTCATCGAGCAGCTTACCGTGGGGCGAAAATCCAAGGACACCCAAACACAAACTAGTCCTAAACGGTAACATCCAGCGAGTGTTTATGACATCAGAAGGGCTCACGTAGGAGCAAAATGATAAGCTCACACAGGAGCAACATGATTAAAGACCAAAGCCAAGGCGCAGGACCAAAACATGACCCAGTTCAGGCAGCAAACTTTCCTCCCTCAATCTTGAGTTCTCTCGCCTCACACCGCGCAGATCCTCATCATGTTTGATGTGCTGGCTCGTAGCATTTTGGCACCTCTCTCCATCGCCTCCCGGTCCGCTCCAGTCATCATCCCTGCCCAATAAGAGATGAAGCCACAAGCAGAATAAATCACAGCAAAAGGAGTCTTTAACTCTTTTTGTTCAAAGATAGCTTGGTTTCGGCAATTCCATATAGCCCAGCACACGGCAGCAAGCACGAAAGGGTAAAATTTTCCCCCATCAGGAAGGAAAACATAGCACCACGAAAAATATTGCCATATATTGTTTGGACAAGTGTACGTACCCAAAACACAACCCACCGTCCTCCAGATCACCCTGGCCACAGGACACGTGAAAAACAGATGCTTTGAGGTCTCTCTGTTCCAACAGAAGGAACATTTGGGGTTGCCAGCCCATCGTCTTCTACTCATGACATCTCTAGTCAAGATGGCATCCTGGAAGGTTTGCCACATGAAAATTTGAATTTTCAAAGGGATCTTCGCCTGGCAGATCCACCTATAGTTACTTCCTGCTATGTTTCTCTCCAGATAATCATAAACCGACCTGGTTGTGAATTTTCTCTTCTTGCCCAGGGTCCAAACCACTTGATCAGGTTCCTCCGACAACACCCAGGAGTTAACAGTGACATTGAGTTCATTCCACTGATCTAACAGTACTGTATGGAGTTGTCTCCGGAAGAAGTCATCCCACACTCCATTTCTAAACTTTTCCACCGTGATCTCCTGCTGATTACAAATGCTATATAGCATAGGGTATTTCTGCTCCACAGGGAGCTCATCATGCAAGGGATCCTTCCACACCCTGGCAAGATTGCCCGAATTCAAAACCACTTTACGACCGGCCAAATAATATTCTTTTACTTTCATAATAGCCTTCCAGGTAGGGGAATCATTGAATCTGTTTTTGACCGAAGTTACCGTATCTTTTTTCAAGTATTTCGCTCGGATCACTTCTTGCCAGAGCCCTTGCTGTGTTTCTAGCTTCCACCACCACTTGGTGAGAAGGCTGATGTTCTGCTTTCAGAGGTCTTTCACCCCCAGTCCTCCCTTGCTCTTAGATCTACATATCCTGGACCATTTGACCAGGTGATATCTCTTGCGACCCTCATATTCTTGCCAGAAGAAGCGCTTACGGTGATTGTCCAGTTTTTCAGTTACCATCTTAGGCAGCAGAAACATGGACATATAAAAGTAGATGATACTGGTAAGGGAGGAATTCAGAAGGATAAGCCTTCCTCCTGATGAGGCCGCATTGCCTATCCACGACTCGCATCAGTGCAGGAATCTTTCATCAGCAAAGTTCCAGTGCAGGCTAGGAAGGGTCGAATAGCTGACTAGCATGCCCAAATATTTCATTGGGAAATGACCAATCTAACAATTAAATAGGTCTGCATAGAAGGCTAGAGTATCATCATCCCCTCCGACACATAGTATTTCACTTTTGAGGAAGTTAATCTTAAGCCCTGACATGAGTTCAAAAATATAAAGCAACAGCTTCAGATTAATAGCAGCTTTCTTATCATGTTCCAGGCAAATGACGGTGTCATTTGCACATTGGAGAATGGCTACCCCATCTTTAATAAGGTCCGAAGCCAATCCAGTATGGAGTTTTTCTTTCTGCGCATTGCGGATCATTTTTTACAGTGTCTCGACTGCCAGGTTAAAGAGAATAGGAGAGTGGGGGTCGCCTTGACGCACCCCCTTGTGGCTTTGGAAGTAGGAGCCCTTTTCATTATTCAGTTTGACACTGACAGTGCCATTGTAAAGAATTTTATTAACCCAACCACACTATGTTGTACCAAAGCCTCGATCTCGATGACACTCTAGTAGGAATTCCCAGTCGATCTTGTCATATGATTTTTCAAAGTCTAACTTCACCACCACGCCAACTCTTTTTTCTGGTGCGTATGGTGCAAAACTTCGTGCAACCTAAGAATACCATCCATGATGTTCCTGTGCTTAATGAAAGCATTCTGATGTTTGCTAATCAGCTTATCAGCAAAGATCGCCACCCGGTTATCCAAAACCTTGGTGATAAATTTGTAAGGACATCTTAGGAGACATATGGGGCGGTACTGTTGTATTTTCTTTGCCCCTTTCATCTTTGGAATAAGTGTAATCACCCCATAGTTCAGGCGGGCTATGTCAAGATTGTTTGAGTGGAAAGCTTCAAACAAGCGCATGATGTCACTCTTGACAAAATCCCAACAATGCATATAAAATTCTACTGGAATGTTATCAGGCCCTGGTGCACGATTGCACCCCATCTCAAATAGTGTTCTTTTCACTTCTTCTTCTATGAATTTGCTCGTGAATAGGATATTATCATTCTCATTAAGTTTTTCTTCTTCAGACCAAGTTTCAGGAGATAAGTGGAACACGTTGCCCCTAGCCGGGCCAAATAGTTCCTTATAATAGGAGGTTGCATGTTCTAGTAGGTTTTCCGTGCCCTCAATGGTCACCTCCCCCGCTGTGAACGAGTGAATAGTATTTTTCCTCTTCCTACCATTTGCAATCTTGTGACAGAAAGCTGTGTTACTATCTCCTTTGAGCAACCATCGCACATTGGAATGTTGTAACCAAAACAACTCTTCCATAACAAGGAGGTCATTTAGCTCCGCACACAAGGAGGTCCTTTCTTCATAAATTTCTGGATCAAGGGGACCACTTTCTTGCAACCTCTCAATTTTCTCTAGTTCTTCCTTAATGTGCTTTTTCCTTTTTCTGGCATGCCCAAAGGAATGAGCCCCCCCATCCTTTGAAGTATTTCTTGATCCTTTTGAGTTTGATATTCAAGATATCAATGGGATTCTCAGAATTCACAGGTTGCTCCCATATTTTCTTAGCCTTGATTAAAACTCTTCATTCTTGAGCCAGCTCAGCTCAAATCTAACTAAGTTTGATATGGCAAAAAAATCATAATCTTTTTAAAAAAACATCAGTATATTTTTCAAATTTACTATTCACGTGTGTGTACATGTGAAACAGTGTTTACCTTTGTATTTTCGGAATATAAGCCAACCAGTTACGAAACTGTTTTGTATACTTGTTGGTGGTGGTAAATTGTACGTAATGTGAATTGTGCAACAAATCAACATAGCGAATGGGCATGATAGGACTAAATGGTGAACTATTTCCTCTTATA